AATTTTACAGCTTCTGATTTAAGAAAAGAGTAAAATTTCTCTAAGGTTTTCAAGTTTTTGTATAAATGTCAGATCGGATTAAGACGCAGTGTTGCGTGTTCTGGAAAAAAACGAGTTTTTACTTTATGTTTATGTTTAAAGATTATAGCCTCCTTTTTTGTTTATTTTTGATTTGTTAAATCCTTTTTTTTTTCTGCAGAGTAATGACGAGATCGTATCTAGAATCCTTGATCAGACAATTATGAAGAATTAGTGTTTCTTTTTTACTATATTATCTTTTGACATAAGGGTTAGAATGCTTGAGGCAAATCTAGGTGTCAGTTTCTGTTTCCTGAATTGTTGGTGCTTACGCTTTCTGTGAGGTTATCCTAATCCTTGGGTTGTTTTGTCGTGGAAAGACGGGTTGAGCAGAGAATATCTCGATTCAAAAGAAATTTTTTTTACTGCTCTCAAACAAATCTGGCGTTCTTTACATCTAATTCAACATAGTCTTAATTGATCGGTATGAGATCGACGGTTGGAGAATAGTTAATCAATTCACAAGAATAATGTATAATTACAACACAAGTAAACAGTTAGATACTATTTTAGTTCCTACTTATTGTAAGATTTAATTTAGGCCTGCGTCAATTAGGAGGTGCGGTTGCAGGGAAGAATGAACTGCCAAATTTCTTGACTGTTTAGCTTTATTTGAATGGTTAAGTTTTAGTAACAATTTCAATTAATCTTGGGTTGTTTTTAAGAGTTGGAAAATGAATCGACGCTTGAGGTGATTAGACACTTTATGAATAAGAGTTTAGGATTTAGTTTTAAGGTTAAAGTTTAAAGATTCAAGAGAAGCCTTGATGATTTGATTTAAATTAACAAAATAAAAGTTTTAGTTAAGCAATGATAAACCTGGATAGAAAGAGATTAAAATTGTTTATTATTTCAAAAATGGATGAACATTCAAAAAAAATTATGATTATCTTGTTTTCGTGTTTTGCAATTTTAATTTGCAAGTTAATTTGCAAGTTAATTGTTTGGACATTCTTTTTACTAACTATTTTTTACATTTTCTATTTTTGATTGATTAAATTTTAAAGTTAAAAGATTTTTTATAAAGTTACTGCATAATTGAAACTTTGACGTAGATATGAATTTGTTTGTCGACTGGATGTTTATGTATCTTATCATTTTCTTGAAATATTAAACTTTTACGACTTATAAAATCAATTTCACGGTTCTATTTATTGCATTCGATATAATAATAAATGAAAAATTACTGCATAACTAGTTTGAAACTGAATAATCGTCGTAGTCTGTTTTCGTTTTGCGATGCAGATATTTGGTTTGTTGTCTCTGTGCTGACTTGATTTGATTAGACTTACTGAGACGTGGAAGTAAGCTATTTCTTATTTTGATTCGGTTGAACATTTTGTTGATTTTTTCTCTTATCTAATTTTTCTAATCTGATGTCTGGTTTTTCTAAATCTAAGTTAGTATAGGATATATACTGATTTTGGATAGGGTAAACGGTCTGTTTGGCACGCTATCTTACTTTCGGCCGGATAGATTCGTGCAACTTCTTAGTCTAATACCGGTCTTAATCTTACTCCTAGTTTTACTCCTTATGTTTCCTAGTCTCAATAGATTTAGCACATACTGGTCTTCTTGCGAGGTTAGAGGTAAAGGAAGAGAAACTGCTTTCTAACTTAAATTTTTTCTTCTCTGGCTGAAACTATAGACAGTTTCAATTTAACAAACTATCGTAAGTTTTAGTCATGGATAATGAGCGGTTAGTTCTAAGTATTTAGCAGTTGAAGTTTTCAAGCATATAACTGAATATATAAAAAACTTGTTTTGTACTGGTTGTAGTGGTCGCAAATGAATATGTGATCGAAAAAAATGCCCCTTTTTACCCACCTGCAATGTATTAGTAAATTTTGTTTACAGTGTCCAATGGTTATGATAAATTCCGACCATTTAATTCATGACAAACATATTTGGCAGTTCTATTAAGCCCAGTTATGCAACTCGTTACACCAAATAATTCACAAAAGTATAATAGGTCAAAAAAAATTTTCTTTTTTTTTGCATCACATCAAACAAGCCCGCTACAAGCGGAGGCAAAAAAGAAAGTTTCAAAAAAGCTGGGAGCTTACGAAGGTGCAATTAGAAACTTTTTGGCTGTAGCAAAAGCTAAGTAGTGGTTAATCTTCTCTACCCTATCTGTCGTCCATCTGACGCGAGGACTGTGCAAAAACGAGGCAGCTGTTATTTTAAAGAAATCAAAGGATTGCAGTTTTAGCTGAACCAGCATAAATTTTTATGGTGGGAAATTTGTTCAGACAGTCTCACAAAAAATTATAGCACAGCTTAATCAATTAAGAAAAGCCGCTGAGCAAAAATTTTTACACAAAAAATAACCCAGGATCTGACCGGCTGCTTTTTACTTTCTATGTAGTTTTCAGAAAAGATTTCATTGATTATTGACCATACTTTAATTTTTTTCTGCAAAATTACATTTTCAGCAAAAAAACTGCTATCAATAAAAATCTCAAAACGAGGGATTCTTTAACTTTCGTTTGACCTGGAATAAAGAACCTTAACACAAAAATAATTTCATAAGAGCTTTTTGAACTATTTTAAGACTCCCGTGGTAGATCAAATTTAAGCATTGTTGACGACGGACATGACTGGAGCCTTGAAGGCGAGTGAGGACAGTTGTCGACCCTTTCGATCAAGCGACCACTTCAACCCAAAAGGCAACAAAAAACCACTAGAATGATGCAAAAAAAAAATAAAAAATACTCTATTGCTTAGAATTGCATATTGAAGCTTATACGAGATGTTTCATAAAACTGCGTTTAAAACGTGGTCCTATATCAGGCAGTTCATCTCAGGACTGTTCAAGCTTGCTCTTAATATTTTATGAGTATGTTTATGCTCTATGTTTAGGCTCATCAACTCGTGGAGTTTTCTTTTGGCCATACTTTCATGGCCCAGATTGTCCCTATGACCCTAAGATAAAACATCCAGTGTTTGACCACAAGGTCCCCAAAGATTCTCAACAGAAGTTTTTCAAAACGCATCAGCAGGCATCTAAGTTCTGGTTTGGCTTTATGTTCGTCAGAGATCCATTTGAACGAGCTGTTTCGGCATATTACAACAAAGTTAAGGGAAAAAATCTTCTCAAGGGTAAAAACTGGACCATAAGTGAATACTTTGATCACTTGGTGAAACATAACGTCCAAGATGAACATTTCAAACTTCAGCAAAGAGTATGCGACCCGTGTTATCTCAACGTCGATTATCTGGGAAGAACCGAGACTATGATATCAGATATAGATGCAATAATCAATCACAAAACTAAATTACATTTGAATATACCTTTCGATCCAAGAGAAGATCATTCGAAGGTTAGCTTGAACAACACCACGAACAAATCAATGCAAGACATATATCGGGAGTTGGATCCTAAATTGATGAAGAAGTTTATCTGGAAGTACAGATTGGATTATCTTGCTTTCGGCTACAACCCATATAAGGTGCTATCTAAACTATCTCCTAAATGATATGCTTATGTACAATTCACTTATGCGTCAGAGGATAATTTGTCACAGACGACAATTCGTAACAATTTCGAAAGGCGACAATTTGCGCCAAGTGTAATTTTTTTAGAAAACGACCGTTAACATCACATATAATAAAGGGGGTATTGGATAAACAGTGCGAACTGCGCAAGATGTTTTGCGGTGGTTTTGGGGGTTCTAATCCAACGAGTCAACGAAATTTATTTTTAGCACCCTTTTTAAAACAAATATCGAATTAAAATGAATTAGAAGTGAACATAAAGGTAAGCGAACACTATTAGCATCTCGAACAATTGTTTCCGGTTTATTCTTGTTTTCGATACATCTCCTGCAAATCATACCAACATGCCTTCGAACTTTGTCATGTGCGAGCGAGGAAAACAGCAACTTGTCCATGAACAAAAAGCAATCATTAAAAATCTCGGGTTACATAGCGGGGGAATACCTTAGATTTCCTGCCAGAAATTGAAAGCCTACAGAGAAGATTCCATACAGTAAACCAACCAGAAACTCATCAAAAAATCTTCGTTTAGGGCAAACGTTTTCAAAAAAAATCGAATTTACTTCTTGGATCGGTCAAAGATTCCAGGGCTGGTTTTTAAGGAATTTTTGCTAGAATCAGTTCTGGAGCATAGGGCTTTGATTATAACTAAAGTTTATAAATGGATGCCAACATGACGAATCCAATAACCAAAGATTTTACATTTAAAAAAATCCACAAATGACAAGAACCTGACAGAAAAATTGCATCTGGAGATTTGTTATTCAAGTTAGAATAATGCATTTCACCCAGAATTAAAATTTAAGAATATAGATTTTTATATGGCTAGAAAACTTTAACCTTGAAATACTTTTTTAAAAAAAATTGGCTGTTTTCGATAGATTTAAACCATCGACATTTTTTGGCTCTACACAAAACGATTGTGTTTTTTTTTTGGCGTAACAAAATGAGTCTGGGCTACGTTATAGACAAAAATTTAACATTTTGCGTATATCTTTTTGGTTGAGAAAATATTTTTGAACATAAAATTGATTTTGCAATAGTGTGAATTCTTTCAAAAATTTGGTACAGATTTTTTTTGAAAAAAGTTGTAATACCGTTGATTAATTGTTTTTCCTGGAAAAGTATCTTTATTTCGATATTTGTTTCAAAAGTGGTGCTAAGTTTAAATTTCAATGGCTCTGAATCCCTAAAACCACCGCAAAACTTCTTGCGAAATTTTCATTTGAACAGAACAGTAATTTCAAGACTATCCCTGAAAAAATAACAAAAAAACTCATTTTCGTTTAATTTGCACGTCGATTGTTGATTTTGAAAATTTTCCCATCAGTTTATGTACTTTTTTTATAAAGCTGAAATTCATTATAGCAACAGGAACCGTCAGCTGGAAACTAGGAAGCAGAAAAAATCGATTCTTACTAATTATGTCTATCAAACTGTTTTAGCATCAGTAAATCTCAAAAGTTTTTATCTTGGGCTGATCAGGCTCAATAAAATAATCTTCGTCTGCTATAAATGGTCCTGCAATTTTGCGGAAGTTTCCGTAGGTATCGTCTGGAATTTGAAGAGGCTCCTCTTGCTCATTTCTTTCGTACTGTTCACAGTGTCTTACACTCATGAAATAATAAGTTACGTAACTTATTGCGTCAGAAGCTGAGTTCGAAGGTCTGCACGTGTAAAGTCCGACCATTCGGTGAATTCTCTGCCCGGTTTCTGTCCTTTCATATTCTGGTTGACTGGCTTTGGGTAGAATATTTTTGGTGTCCAAATGGGCAACTCTCAGAATTTTCCATATGCGGTTATTTTCAGAGTGAGGACTTCTATGTTCAATTATGACATCATCGTCTAGAACGTAGAGTTTGAATTCAATTGACCTGCCGCCTTTGTGTTCCTGAATTGACCAATCGCTGAAGCCGTTTATAGTACACACACAAGTTAGTTGGTAGCAACCATCTATAAATTCAAGTCCAGCTCGGATCCAATTTCGCCTATCGTACCGAATCATAACCCCAGCTTGATCATTCTGGTCGCGAGGTGTCAGAGTCAAACTAGTTTCTAAAAGAACTTTGGAATGTGTGCATGGTAAGTATAAAAAGTGTCCAGAATCTTTGCTTTCGTCGTTTCCAAAATAAGTCTGCTGCCAAAAGTCGGTACCACTTTTGGGATAAACTCGTAAGCCACCTTGATGCACACTTTCCCAATTTGTAGGGACATTGTACCATCGGATTCCCCTTGGTAAGTTATGCGGAAAAGTTGGATCTTTGAACTTGGTATAAAATATGAAAAACTCTTTCTCGTAACTTTCGATGTCGTCATAGGGTATGACAACCGGGTTATCCTGAACCCGACGCCATCTTGGTCCCGTCCTGATTATATCTTCTGCTGAAGTTGACACGTCATTTGACCTTTGAGACGCAAAGCTGAGATCAGAATATCCTGCCAAACTTTCTCTTAACGATCGATCACGTGGTCTTCTTGCCGATGATCTAATCGGCATCTGGCTTGGCTTAGGTTGTTTTGAGTTTCCTGGAACTGTTGAGCTCAGATAACTGATTGGTTTAGGTCCGGCTATAACTTCATCGAATCTGACTGATCTTGATTGATCCTTCTCTGATCTCTCGGAAGGTTCTCCAATTCTTCGAAATCTCTGCTGAACGTTCCCTACAAGATTCAGTTCCTCAAAATTGGAGAAAGTAGGAAAGTTTGCTGTACAACTGGAACCATCATTTATTTCTTCAACTACATGAGGAGTGTATTTTTGGGTCGGTATTTCGTCGTGGCTTGTCAAAACAATTGGCTGGTTGGTCTTAAAAATCGAAGTTCTTGGTTGCTCATTTAGCCGATACTGAGTTTGTAAAAATGGCTGCGAAGGGTCGTAATGTAGGGGATAGTTGTCAATATATGCAGGGTTGAGGTCAAACTGCCAGCCGTCGACTTCTCTATGTTGTTCGTACTGAGGTAATTTCGTATGAATTGAATCGTACTTTGACGAAATTCGTTCGCCGTCATGAGTCGTAACCCAGCTCGGCTGGTAAGCTGTGATTGGCTGGTGAGTTGCAGCACGACTACTAGATTGAGGCGGTACGCTCCGGTCAAATTGCACTCGCCTCATGATAACAAGAAAATATCATTCAAGTATCATTTGATTCATTACTTGGTTTTCATTTTTCGCGTGTGCTAGATTTATACAATTAACAATTGTTTTTGTGCATATCAATCTTATCATGTATATGCTTCTGATTGAAAACTAACGAAAAAATATTGTTCATTCAGAAAAAAATGGTCTGCATGCTGGTTTCTCAACTTAGTAGTTAAGTGCTCACATTTTTTTGTGATTTGTTAGAAATGACGACAAAAAACCAGGGAAAACATGTACAAGGTTGAACAAAGTTTGCTAGTAAATAAAATTTATGATTTTTTGTCGCTTTGTGATGTATAGTTTGGGTTTGAAAGGATTTACTGGGAAAACGTTTTTTATATGTTATTTTGTTAATTTTTCTGTTTCTGATGTGTATTTGATGCGAATCTATCTTCTTAATCTATTGTAGCAAAGTTTCTTCGTTTCTAATTCCGAATAAGACTGTTCGTATATCTGGGCAAAGCACTGAATATTTTGACTGAAAACCCAAACTATAATTATTTTGATTGAAAAATTGATAAATTAATTGAAAATTTTTTATTCAATTATTGTTTTACAATCATCGCACTGATTAATTACTCTTCGCTTATTTTGAAAATTTAAAATTTGATTAAAAAAGGAGTGTAGTACTTTATTGTTCGTTTTCAAAGAAACGGAGAGCTGTAAAAATGCTGAACCGAAATACATTTAAGTTTGCATGCTGTGGCTAAATATAAATTATCTTATTTTGAGCCCCGTACCCAGTGAAGGCAGCTTTTCTAGATTGAAACGTTGTATAGATTACCTAGCTAAATTTTCTGTATTTTCTTAACAGAAATGATCTATTTCTTTCTTAAGAAATAAACAATTTTTTTGAAAGAAATAACCAGAAATCAATACACTGCTCAACCGCAACGAGATAAACATGCTTCGAGTATACTCATCAACCGTAGCAATACAATGCAAAATACACTTGTCACGACAAGTGCTGCTTTGCATTAGGTTGATAAAACTAGCCTACAATAATAGGTGATGTGGGCGAGCGTTTGGAACATTCGACCATTAAGTCGTAGATCGGGAGTTTGAGACGCAGCCGGAGACATTTTTTAAGCTAGAAATAGCCTAGATTTAGCTAATTTCTGACCAGAAACAAGATGAGAAATAATAATTTTTAAGAAAGTTCCTGCTTTATTTAAACATTTCACAAAGAATTTCTGATCAAAAATTGGATTAGATATAAAATTTTCCAGGTCGGAAATAAATTTTTTTATCGGTACGGGGTTTGTTCAATACATTGAAATCAGTACTCCCCTCAATAAGAAGCCAATGTAAATCATTGAAATAGCCAGGTTAACTAATTTCAATTTATAAGCCATAAAATTTTGTCATAGGCTAAGTGCATTACAAAAAGAAGGTTTAAAAAAGACAGAATCCAAAGTGACTTAATTTGCACAGAATGAACAGAACACAGAATGAATTATACATGTACTTTTTTCAGGGTTCGATTAATTCTGTAAAAATCAAGTCACTTTGGGTTCTGCTACTTTCAAACCTTCTTCTTGTACATCTCAACCCAAAAATAAGCATTAGATAACGGGTTTCGGGTTTGAACCTCTTGTATGCATTTCAATTAGCATACCAACATAGCAAGATCAGCTTGAGTGCGGCTACTTCCACGTCGTTTATATCAGGCTGCAAAGGATGCACTTTAATAGCGCGACTTGTGTTGGGAAAAATAAGGACCTTCAACACAACCTTGAATGTTCCGAACACCCATTAAGGTCGATTAAATGAACAAAATTGATAAATTGAGGACAAAATAGAAAAAAAATTTATTTGAAAATATTCGCAACATGCTATGCAGTGTATAAAATGGTATAGTTAGCGTCTTGCAACGTATTTCGATTTTTCCAAACCAAACTGGAAGATTTTTGAGCCAGTTTAAATCGCCAATCGAATTGTGCATTTTGTGAATTTTAAGCGGATTTGGCAACAGGCCAAAATCAGATTTGTCGCGGAATCAGCAACTTCACGACTTTTCTATGATCTTCTTTGATGTTTTGTATTCCGCAAACACATAGCTAAAACACTGTACCGCTCAAAATTGCTCCAAAAGTAGGCAAATTTGCGGAAACCCTAACCGTTTGTAAAAAAAGGCAACAAGTAATAAAAAACCTGCAAATAAAAATGAGCTGTTCGAAATCCTCAACTGTAAGCGGAGTCCACAATTTGTAAGCAGAATCCGTAAATTGTTACCGGAATCCGCATTTTGTTTGCGGATTCTAGTTACATAAATAATAGCGTTTTAAATTAATTTTTTTTAACAGGTGGTCAGCAGCTTCTTCAATCTCTATTATTGCTAACAGATGAGCTACCAGTTGAAATACCAAATGTTCGATCTCAATTTCTGCCAACTTAACACCATTTCGACCTCAGTTTCTGCCAGTTTCGATCTCAATTCCTGCCTTTTTCGATTGCAATTTTGGCCTTACACCCAACCTCAATCTCAATTCATTTCACTTCGATCATAATTACTGCCAACCTACCACCAACTTTGATCTCACTTCCCATCTATTTCGATCCCAATTCCTGCCTGTTTCCATTTCATCTCATCTCAAATACTGACGATTTGAAATCAATCTGAACTCACAATGCTCCCAAATAATGATTTATTTCGGTAAATGTTTCCAAACCGATCCCGAAAATTTGCTTGCTGATTTGCGGGAATCGGAACAACAAGCTATATTCGCTTGTTGCGGAATCTGCGACTAAACAAATGTGCCGACAACACTTTCGTTTTAAGTTTTTTTTACGCGGAACCACGAAAGTTTTGTGATAGAATCTACATACTATTTAGAACTTGATTTAAGACTTGTCTCTGGAATCCAGGATTATACAGACACTTTTCGCCTCTTCAGTGCACAGTTGGGCCTCCTAATTGTTAATAGGTTTGCAATATATCGCGCGCTACTTAGCAAATTTAGTTTTGCAAAAACCTCTTCAAAAAAATTTTACGAAAAATGAGCACAGGTAAAATACATTTGAGCTCAGTACAGGAATGCCTTTCAGATGATTTAACCAATCCACCAAAAACTGACTGGTTAAAAAGCGAAATTTTGCTGAAGCAAATAACACGCGAGCTCAAGTATTTGGTCATTTCTTCGAAACGCGGAACACTAATAAGACCAAATGATTTGCCTCATTGCATTTTGAAACGATTCAATCCGCCTTTTACGGATTAAAAAACGCTATGTATCTCAAACATTCATTTCTTTAAGGAAAATAAATATTTTTTTAAATTGCAACCAAAATATTTTTTTTTAATTTGGACTCAGGTTATCAATAGCTTTAGATGTTATTAAAATTTTCATTCAAAAGTGGCTGGTTGTAAAGTCAAAATTTCTCTGAAAAAAAAACAGCACAAGTACTCCATCCTTTCTTTAAAGTCGGAACAATAACAATTTAGAACCAATTTAGGATTATGAAAGTTTGAAAGGAGTGATTTAATTACGCATCAGTCAATCGTTAGCTAAAAATCGAAACCGAAGAAAAAAAGTATTTTTTCGGCGCTGAGGCAGTTGTTTTTTTTATAAATTGTTTTTATTATCCAAATGAAGATTGAAAGGGCATACTCATCAGTTTAACTCTGTTGCCAATGACCGTTCTTTGAGACTCGATAACACTCGAGTGTAGAAAAGCAATAAGACACGAAAATATTCGAGCGAATCCAAATAGGCATTGGAACGGCCCCTTATGAACCACTCGATAACCAACGAGCTTTCACGAGACGCGGCGTGAAAAAGCCATAGTTCTTACTCAATGTCTCGTTGGTCACAAAGACGGGAGTACGCGCCCCCATCAAAATTAGTAATTTTTGGCACCCTAAGAGAGCCAATGAAAGCACCTTTAGAAAAGTGTTACTATTTAGAAGCCTTCTAGGCACGCTACTGGATCACTCAACCATTTGTGGCGAAGAAATGGTAGTCAGAAGCAAGGTAGTCAGCTGGTACTTCTTCTCTTTGAAACAAGCAGTCTATACAGATATGAGGCAATGATATTATCATTCATCAATTGTTCCTGAATCTGAATCTATTTTGATTCTGTAGAAGCAAAAACTGAACTAAAATGAGCAGACAACCGTAAATAAATTTTATTCGAAATTAAAAACAATAACTATGGATACACTTGAAAAGTCAATAAATCAAAAAGAATATAGACGTACAAGGTTTTTGTTTAGTTTATTTTCTAATCAATCAAACTAACTATTTTCTAATCAATTTAAATCTCCTCAACAGTTTTTTTTTTAATTTTGGCTTCGAATTAGTCCATTTCTTTTCTCTTTCATTTTTCAAATTTTACTGCTTCGTGGTTGCTTCATTTTTTCCTCCAGACATCTTTTGTGCTCTTAGTTCTTTCTCTTCCAGCTTTTTAGCATCTCTCTTTTCCGGCTTCATGGATTCTTCTTTAGCCTCATCAATTTTTTCCGGGTCTTTTTTATCCTGGGGCTCTGTGACCACTTCCTCTGGGAGATCATCAAACTTACGAATTCCCTGGATCAGAATTCCGTAATACACAGCCAGCGCAACCAGTCCTCCTCCGATTGGTCCAACCCAGTAGATCCAATGGTAGTAAGCGAATTCATTCATGACCATAGCGGGACCGAATGATCGGGCGGGGTTGAGACTGCATCCAGTGTAGGGGGCCATGAAGAGGACACAAGCTAGCACCATGAACCCAGCGGCAGTCGAAGGAAAGCCCTGAAAGAGGAACCCTTTAAATTCATATTTTACTGTTCCAATCATGAAAATCGGGAGCAACTTTGTATTTGAGAGTGTCCGACCATTGAAATCGGGAGCAACTTTGTATTCGGTTGTTTTAGTTTTTTTTTTCGTATTTTCCCACGCAAAATCAGGTATTTACAAAAAATGCTCGGATTGAGTCGAATGATATATTATATCGTAGCACTTTCAGTCGTGTTTACAAAGATAATGACCCAGTGTCGAGAAAAACTTTGAAACTGAGATTTGATCATACTTTCGAGCAAAGAACGCAATCGAGTAACGTTCATTATATAAAATTTGGGCATTTAGGCTCAGAAATTTTGAGCTTTCTAAACGGAAAACTTCATTTGAAAATTCCTTTACCATGGGCAAAAAACGACACTAAAACGAAGAAAAAACTAAAAAACTTTTTTGATAGTTTTTAATGAATATGGTCGGAACATTCTGTGTTACTTGCACAGCAACCGGCTATACTTGTTTCTTTATCTGATTTTCAGCAGAGCAACTCCGATTTTCAACTCGTTATTTTTAGCAAAGGAAAAAATTTTGGCAGTATTCTGCAATGCCCCCGGATTTTGATTTTTCTCGCTAAGACAGCAAGAAAATGTAAATTTGAAAAATTGTCGCAGTTTCGTTAGAATTTTGGCGGCAGTAAGGGTAATCGGAAAAAGGTTGAGTTAAAGAAAAAATTTACATACCTCGAAGTCCTTCTTGGGATCTGGATCCGAGATGACAAGTACCAGTAGAACAAGAATCATGGTTCCAATGAGCTCCACCACTAGGCCTTGTGCCATGTTCAGTTCAGGCCTTAGCCTGTTCATGCCCAGGTGAGTGGCATCTATCCATTCTTGAGGAGCAATCCAGTAGAGAAGACTGGCTCCAGCAGTCGCACCTGAAAATATAGCGCAACTGATTTAACAAATTATAAATTTTAAATTAGTAAGCGCTTTTCTCAAGTAATTGCTGTACTTGTTTGTAATAAAGTATGGTATTTTAACAAAGCAATCAAATTTCTTGTTAAGGTTCGCACTCCATTACTGAAATGTGAGCTCAGCGGAGTAGGCATTCGCTGCTGGCCAGTTCTGGTTTTACGCTTATTATGAACTGTGCAAGTTTTCTGTTTTGGACAGTTATCTACTGTTGCGAGTAATGACTTCACTAACTAAAATAATTTCTGTGAAAATCTGCAAATTTTTTTCATCTTATAGCTTACCGGCTAATTGAGCCATAATGTAGAAGAGTGCCTTCAAAGTATCGCACCTTTTTGCGATAGCGAGAGAGATAGTGACAGCTGGGTTGATGTGACATCCTGAAGTAGGTCCAATGATGTGAATCAGAGTCATGATGATGGCTGCAAATGTCAAAGCAGGCGTAATCAAATTGTCAATTCCACGTCCGATTCCGGCGTCATACTCGCTGCTAACTATATTCGACAACCCCACGAAGATCATGACGAAGGTTCCGAAGAACTCGGCGAATGTTGCTCGCCAGAGCTTCGGGTCCAGCAGCTCGTGTGAACACTGAAGTATTCCTTCGATGGCGTGTTTTCTGTGGTATCCCATAACTTTTAGTTACCTTAATCAACTAGGAATTTTATTAATAACTGTCCTTCTTGATGAGCTATTTTGAAGGTTTGGTAATTGAATTTATGAAATTGGAATTTTAGGGTCTGAAATCCCCCGAAGAACATAAAAATTATGATTATAAAAATTTGAAAATTGAATTTGTAATGCGAGTGAAGCTTGACCCAACTTTATAAGACGCAAGGCGCAACCGAGAAGTATCAGATTCCTTTATAATTGATTAATTATAGGTCAACTCGAGTCATCTTAATTATTTCCGAAACATCCACAAATGAAAACGAAGTTTTGAGTCCTGTACCTACTAAGAATCAATTTAAAGCCAATATTATATGAAAACAGGAATCAGTTATACAGTTTCAAAAAGTTGAAACGGGCTGTCAAGATACAAAAATGCAAGCAATAATTTGAATTAAATCTGAAGGCAACTTTTGCATGCAAACTTGATTTTCCAAACTCAACTTCGAGACGAAATTTGGTCTGAAAAACTAGCAATTGCATGTAAAATTTTCCTGAAATATAGTTAATGCCAAGCATATATTGGCAACATCTTTTTCGGTCAACGAAACTGAACGAAGTTAATTAACCTAAAATTAGAACATTTACTATAGATCATTTGCTTTTTTTTTAAATCAATTTAGTCTGTTCCAATATACTTATTAGGTCGCATGATTTTAAAGAAATCAAACAACTTAACCTCAGACCTGAGATGAGTTTACAAAAATTCATCAGCCTCAAATTATGCCACCTAACCTTAAATTTTAAAAATGGTCTAAAAGTCTTAACAAATTTATCGGAAAAACTTCTGAACATTTTGAAATAAATCTGACCTTGAGATCCAAACTGTTGGTAATACCCTTTTCGGTCAACGAATCTTAACGAATTTAATTAATCCTAAAGCTGCTCATTTCGACGTCGGTGTTTAGCTTCTTACTGATTTCTACACGTAAAAACCATTACCAAAAAACTAGTTAACCTAAAAACTGTAGTTATTGACCCATTTAATCGTTCCAGGTAACCAATATTGCCAAAAATTTGGCATTATCTATAGAGAGTTGCAAAACATTCGGAGAGCCAGAAATAGTTACATAGAGCATTCTGGCTATTCCAATTTTCGCATTTGTTGGTAGTTCTCAGGGTAACATATCTGTCGAAGGCGTAGTACATCAAGGGGGACGTAACGATTTATCCAAAAATCAGAATGACTGAAAATTTTTTTCATGATTTTGGTGTCGAGTAAAAATTTCAGATAAGTCGTGTACTGATATATTTGGAAACATGCAATCAGCTCATCAGCGACAAAAAAAGGCAAGCTGAATAGTCTACAAGCTATCAAGAACGGGGTCGGCTCATTTCTACACTCTCTCAAAACCGAGTTCCTGAAATTTTCGGAAATTACACTGGGTATAGTGAAACCAACATCCGAGATAACTCGTGACCTAAAACACTTTTTCGATTGCCGGCATGATCCCAGTTTCAAAATATTTTTTTTTAAAATCGGGAATCAGATGCCAATTACAAAAAAAAGCTGGCACTTTTGGGTCACAATCTCGAAAATTTGGGTAGGTTCCTTCATTTTTTCGCATGAGAAACGCCTGACAACCGGTATTTTCTAATTTTCACTGGATCCGAAACATTTTTCAATTTGTGAAAACGGTTGGGGGCCGTTTTGAGTGTTCCATCCTCCAAAATATTTTTCGATCTTACCAGAAATTCAAAACCTCGAATAGTTGCAAATGTTAGCATATCATCGCGTTGGAGCATAAAAAAAAAATTTTTTGTTCGCGGTTTTGTCCATAGGACGTTTAGATTTATTTCTTTTAAAATTTTTGGGTATGAAGCAAAATTGTTTCGCTGGTTCGGCACATTGCTTTTCGTCGTACTTGGCAGAATACTGGCTGTAAAAATTTACATCTGTTTCCTGCACTTAACTTTCTTAAATTGTTTTCAAGGGGACAACGGTGATTTTTTCCTGAAAATTTTGCTCTGACACGCGACCTTTAGGTAGCAAGCAAGGGCGAGTTGCGAGCTCATAAATAATTTTACTCTTCGAAAATTTGAGAGATAATCGGGACGCGCAACTATCGATAACACATCTATACTATTGAATATTTTCTCTGTTTCTTATATAAATAAACATCAAAAGTATGTGTCTCCTTTAAAAGGAGCTTTGACGAAAGAAATTTCCATTATTTTTTTGATAAACTATTGCCAACTTTGGATAATTATTGCCAAATTGTGATACTTTATTGCCAGTTTCGAGTTCAGATTTGGATTTGTTTCCACCAATCAGATAGAGGCCCACCTGATGCTGGATGTACCTGTTTGATCGTTTTTGTCTTTGTTGCACGGATGCCGGATGAAATAGATTATTTTAAAAACTGGGCTTCATCCAAAATCATAGTTGTTGCTCTATTAAAAGATGAGAAAAAATTCTTGTGATTTTAGAACTTTCCCAGGGACATTTTTGTTTGTACAAAATTTAAGGCGCAGCATTTTCTGCAAGGAGACTTCCCACGACCTGTTGCCAAAATTAAACCCTTGATATCCAATTGAGTAGTTTTCAAGAAAATTTCAGAATACGGACAAGAAATCAAAACAATGACCTTTACGAGGGTCATGAATTTTGTGTAGAAAAAAATTTCGGCAAAACTGCTTCAGCAAGAGCTTGCCATAACCCGTTCTACCTATTGAAACCAAAATCTCATATTTGGGAAAGTAGTTTTTGAGAATGGTCAAAAAAAAAATTTTCAAAAATTGGTCAAAAAATCGAAAATTTGACTTTCCGAGGGTCATTACTTTTCTAGTGACAAATTTGGATTAGGGCGCTGAAACACCTTAAATTTCAAAAAAACGGCCAAGAAATTGAGAATTCGACTTTTCCGAGGGTTATCACTTTTTGAGTAAACAATTTTGGGCTTAAATGCTTAAGCAAGAGAACTTCTAACAACTGGTGCTTCTGACTAAATTCAAAAACTCAGATTCGGGAGGGTAGTTTTCCAGGCAAGTCGAAAAGTTTCAAAATACGGGCAAGAAATCGAGGGTCTAAACTTTTTGTAAAAAAAAAATTGTGCTTAACTGCTTATGCAGGGGAGTTTTGCACAACCTGCTGTTCCCATAGAAACCAAAACCTCAGATTTAGTAGGGTAGTTTCCGAGACAAGTCAAGAGTTCAAAAAATGGTCAAAAATTTGACTTTTCCGAGGGTGATCACTTTTGTATAAGCAAATTTGGGCATAAATGCTTTCACAAGATAACTTCACACAACCCGTGCTTGCTTTTGACTGAAAACAATAACTCAGATTTTGGAGGGTAGCTTTCGAGGCAAGTCGAAAAGTTTCAGAAAACGGTCAAAAAATCGAAAAGTTGAATTTTCCGAGGGTTTTAACTTTTTGTATACAAAATTTGGGCGTACCTGCTTATGCAGGGAAGCTTTACACAACCTTTTCTATGCATTGAAACCAAAACCTCAGATTTGGTAGGGTCTTTTCCGAGACAAGTCAAAAAGTATCAAAAAAAGGTCAAAAATCAAAAACTTGACTTTTCCGAGGGTCATAAATTTTGTGTAAATAATTTTGGGCATAACTGCTTGAACATGAGAACTTTTCACAACCCGTGCTTTTGAATGAAATCAAATTTCAGATTTGTGAGGGTAGTTTTCGAGGCACATAATTTGAGTTTTCCGAGGGTCATAGCTTCTGATGTAAGAAAAATGGGGCGTAACCGCTTATGCAGGAGAGGTTTTCATAATCCGTTGTACCCATTGAACCCAAAAAATTTTATTTGGTAGGGTAGTTTTCGAGGAAATGTAACAAATCCAAAAATATGGGTCAAACATTACACCCACACACTGTTTCCAAGTTTGTAGAAAGCGGTTAACGTAAAAAAAAGAGGCCAGGGGTTTATGCAGGCACACAGGTGAGTAGACGGACTTTCCATTGGTACCACTTTTTTGAAAATCGGAGATTTAGAGAAAAAACAAACTTTTGAAAAGCGTCTCAAAAAAATAAAAACCCATACATTTTCATAATACCTGTTTTTTACCTCAAAGAGGAGTTGAGTATTTAATTTGTCGGGTCTTATGAATTTCTACATCTTTCTTGAACTCAAATTAATACGGTTGAGGTTGATGTTGAATCTTATTAGCTAATTAGACACTCAAAATCAAACAACACATTCCGAAATTTTAGTTAGAACTTCAAGCAGATAAAATGGTTGCCGGAATAACCAAGATTATAGAACTTTTTTTTGCAAAAAATAATATATTGATTTTTTTTGTCTGGGCAAAACTTTCCTGGTGCCTTGAAAATAATTTAGTTATTAGACAATTTATCACATTTGGGAAGTTTTGATTGAATTGCCGGACGATGTTGCTTCATTTTGATTGGCTAGTAGTGCTGATTTAAATTATCCGGACAAAACAAACAAAACTTGAATTTTTAAAGGCGTTTTTCTCAATTTGGGGCAAGATTAGACAAAAAGTGAAGAGAACGAATTTCATAAGAATTAATATGGTGCAATTTCGGCTTTTTCTAATATGTCATAAATTACGCTGAACCTACTTAATTGATGAAAAATATATATCACAAGAAGGCTCTTACACAGCCCAACAAAGTTTTAGAAAAGTTAAATCTCCAAAAAATGAGTAACTTGTTTAAATTTAGTTTTTAAGCGAAGATTTTGGGTTTTACATAGTAAAAATCACATTTCTTGTCTATCAAGCAAAAATATTTTTTCATATACAGGTTTTTGGAGATTGAACCTTTCTAAATCTATGTTGGTCTGTGTAAGAAGCCACTTGTAATACATGTTTCTCATCAATTAACAAAGTAGTTTCAGCGTATACTTTGATTAAATGGAAAAAGCCAAAATGACCCATTTTTGGGGTTAAATTTTGGTTGAGAATTTTGGAGAAAAAATTGCACCATATTAATTCTGATGAAATTCTAAGCAACTTTTCTACTCTTCACTTTTTGTCTAATCTTAACCCAAATTGAGAAAAACTCGTTTGAAAAATCAAGTTTTGTTCGTTTTGTCCGGATAATTTGAATCAGCACTGTATTGACCAATCA